TTCTCCTGAGCAGCGGCCGGTGGTTTTGAATTGCTAGCCTTGTGGTTAGTAGTCCAATGTAACCACTATGCCATCAGTGCTCCTTTAGTCTCCCTCTCCCATCCCCACCCCCACCGCCACCCCCACAAAAACCCCTAAACTCACTGCCATCAAATTTATTCCTACTCATAGCGAGAGGTGACAGCCTCTCTATCTCCCTCAGAGCTGCTGCTGGTTTCAAACTGCCCATCCTGAGGTTAGCAGCCCACCGTAGCCACTGTGCCACCAGCGCTCCTTAGAGAACCTTTAAAAAAGGTCCAATCAAAACTGGTTCCCAAGGGATGTGCTGGGCAAATTAAACTTCAAAACAAGGGCCAGCTCAGAAGGTTCAGGAGACTGTTTCTGGGGGGACTCCAAAGGCCTGTATGACATGTTCAGAACATTAAAAACTGCATTGGTGAGGAAACGGGCAGGAGTTTCCTGGGGATGAGAACAGTGAGGCCCGCATCCTGAGAATCCCAGATGTGTAGCTCTACTACAATCTGTCCGACAGCCTTGCTCTCGCCCCTTCAGACTCAAAGAGCATTAAGAGGGACATGATTTGAGTCTCTTGAAATGGTAAAGACTGCTGCTATGATGTGGCGTAAATTAAAGGAGTACAAACTTCTTGTAAGAAGGGTTAGAGAGTGTATGGATTGGGAAAACAGTTGTATGAGCCCCTAATAAAATGTTAAAAAAGAAAAAGAAAAAAAAAAAGGGTTAGAGAGCTGAAACACCAGCTTCCACGTGTGAAAAAGCCTGGGTCATTTTGCACATCAGGATGAACACAGTAAAGGGCTATGCCCTGTGGAATAAAAGAAGAACTCACGAGTCCATAGTGAAAGAGGGGAAGGGAAAGTGCTCCTATAAAATGGAACTGAAACATGCTGAAGGGAAGCTGGAGCCGGAAAAGCTTCATCACAGAAATCACCACTGGAGGCGACGGTTGGCGGGTGGAATTTTGAGAATCAGAATATTGGCATGGAGCTAAACATCTCTCTTCACAACTCCCAGGATCCATGAGTGAGAAGGTTTAAATAGAGATTTTATAAGCCCCCAGGCACCATCTTACCCAGAGGATCAAAGGTGACAGCCACCTGGGACACAGTGACCTGGTGTACCTCCCAGTGTCGCCCATCGAGGGATGTCAGCTGTGCTAACTCTGCCAAAAGTACAAAGCCCACATCGAACGTGAGCCAAGTCCAAGCTGAGCAACACGCCCCCTCCAGGTTAACGAGGCTGTTCAGGGGAGGTCGGGTCTAAAGGACGCTATCAGGACAAGATGCGTGGGGCTTTGTGCCACTGTACATGTCATGTCAGTGTTAACGCCTTGATTTGATCACTCGTGGGAGGGGGGGGTGTCACAGTGACTAGTGGTCACTGTCCAATCCAGAAAAATACCTGCGTGTGAGTGGAGAGAATACAGCAAACGTGACAGCAGTTAACATTTAGGGCATGTGAGAAATGGGGGTGTTTGCAACTTTTCTTTAAATGCTTCTAAAGGAGCTTAAAAGAGAGAACAATTCGGCCCTGCGTGAAAGATAAGAAACCCACACCCTCCACTGAATGCCCACTCTCAGCCCTGGCTGTCCATTTGCAGCTGGAGGCAGCATGCTGACCCGGAGAGTCATGCCACCTTAACAGCCCACCCTGTTCCAGAGAGGAACAGCCTCTGCCCTGGGCCCCCTCTAGGCACTGTGTGGTGTCCACCGCATAAGCTGTAGGGCATGAGCAGGCGTGGGTGATGCGGGAGGATACTTTCTAAAGCTTCCTGATGTTTTCTGGGTCCCAGCCCCTCTGAGACCCTGCTTCAGACCACAGGGGATCGTTCCACATGGAAAGGTGCAGTGTTTTGACTCATTGGAAAGGAGCATTTATGGCTCTATGTCATCTGCTTCCCAGAGGGATGGAGACCCGGCTGCAGGAGCTTTGGGCTGAGGAGAGAGACACGGGGGAGTCTGGCCCATGCACAGCTGGCTGGGGCTGCTGAGCCCGCTCCTCCTCAGGGGTGAGACAGCTCTGGGAAGACAGACTCAGGAAGAGGCACAACTGCTTCATGTTGGCTGAGTGCTGGGGGAGCCCACAACCCCTCCAGGGTTGCCACCCCATTCTACGGAAGGAAAACGAGGTTGGGAGAGACCAACATCCCATCCGCAGGGGGCACCAACCAGCCGCCTACCCACAAGCACCATTGCACCCACCCCTGAGAGCAACCCCCCAATCTACAACATACACAAGTCTACAGAACAGATGTTTAATGACCAGAGTCAGAGGCTGGGGCAGCTGGATGCCTTCTAGGCAGGCTTGTCCCCCACCTTCCCCCTCCCAGAACCCCCTCGGCCTGCAGAACCAAGGAGCTGGTGGGCAGTCTGGCTCCTTCCTGATTCCTTCCCACCTCGGTTCCAATCATGTTGAGACTGTGGACCGGACAGGTGTGCAGGGGATGTACGGGGAGGTGTGGTCAGAATGTAGGACGCAGCCCACCAGACAAATGCCACACATGGGTAGTTCCTGTGGCCAGTGACTACGCAGCAGAACATGACAAGGACAACATGGTGGCCAAAGACACGGGAATGTGACAAGCAGAGATGAGCTAGGAACGTGGAGCCCAGAGTATAGGGAGGGGGCGCTGGGCCCGGACTCCGCCCCCTCTGCAGCTGGGCAGGGAGCAGGACAGGCCAATCCTGGCCCTGTGTGGCATGGCTCTCAGTGAAGGACCCCAGGTCCTTCACCCACTGCCCCC